AATGTTTCCTAATTTATAGGACCCAGTCTCCCATTATTAGACCTGATGTTACTTCCAATTGTTTGCGGGTATTAAAAAACACTTGAATGGACACCCCTTTCTTTCAGATGGCACTGCACTCATGCAGCCCTTCTCAATGGTAACTGATACGTGCAGGCGTGCACGCAGCCCCCCTGGCAGAAATCTGGCATTACCTTGAGCAAGACCCTCAGCCTGCCCCAGGCATCTATACCTCCTCCGTAAAGCAGGCTGAAGAGTTCTCCCTGCTTCACACGGGGGTGATGAGGATGAGGGTAATGAGGAAAGCAGCTCCCGCGGGGCGGGGCATGTGAGCAGGGCGTGGTCCACAGAAGCACCACACAGAACAAGAGGCCCACAAAGGGTGCATCAGGGCTGACCCTGAATCCAAAGCTTAGGATGGCACCAGACACGAGGAGATGCCGCAGGTGAAAGAAGAGAGAACAACTCCCAAAATAAACAGAACTCAGAACCAACGCCGTGGTGCAGTGGCTAAAGCTATTACTGCCTGTACCGCTGGCATCTCATATGGTCTCTGGCTTGAGTCCCAGATGCTCCACTTCTGATTCAGCTCCCGCTAATGAGCCCAGGACGGCGCAGAGGGTGGCCCAAGTGCTTGGGCCCCTGCATCTGTGTGGGAAACCCAGAAGTTCCTGGCTCCTGGCTTCAGACTGATCCAGCTTGGGCCATTTGTGACCTTCTGGGAAGTGAATGAGCAGACAGAACTTTGTTTGCTAGAGGATTTCTGTCTATCTCTCTCTCTTTCTCTGTAACTCTGCCTTTCAAATAAATAAAACTCCTCACTTAAAAATGTTTTGTTGGGGGTGGGGAAGTATAGCATCATGGTTCAACAGGTCAGTCCTCTACTATGTAATGCCAGCATCCCATATGGGCACCAGTTCATGTCCTGGCTGATTCAGTTCCCATACAAACCTCTGCCTGCAGCCTGGGAAAGCAGCAGAGGTGCCCCCCTGCACCCACATGGGAGTCCCAAAAGAAACTCCTGGCTTCTGGCTTTGGATCAGCTCTGGTTACTGAGGCCATTTGGTGGAGTGAACCAGTAGATGGAAGACTCTCCTTCTCTCTACCAAATCTGCCTTTCAAATGAAAATAAATAAATCTTAACAACAGCAACAACAACAAAAACCCTGCCTTTGGGGTCCCTGCAGAAGATCAGGCACCCTTGGCTCTGCCTGAGTCTTTGAGGCCTTGTCCTCCACTGCCAAGAGCACAGCAGGGCATGCCGCTGGGACCCCACTCCGTCCCCCGGCCTCTCGAAGGGCCCCTCAGAGCTGCCACTCCTGTGCTTTCTGCTGCTCACCATGGTCGGGGGATTGGCCTTCCCAAAGCTTCGGGTGCAGCCTGGACCCCTCTTCCCCAGGGAGCCTCCCCGCTTCACTCCCACAGGTCTTCCATGGGGACCCCAACCCCTCAACATTGCTGACCAACAGTGAAAGCTTCCTCACCATTAAGTCAGTGTCTACCTTTCTTTGACCCTGGCCATTGGTTAGCAAAAGAGAAGGCCCCCAATAAAATCGGAGGATCTTAAATCCCTCACCTCCTTCTCTGTGACTCCCATAAAATCTTTTGTTTAAGAGCAAGACCCTGGGCTTGGCATGGTAACTTAGTGGCTGTTCCATTTCCTGTCCAGCTCCCTGCTTGTGGCCTGGGGCAGCAGCAAAGGACAACCCAAAGCCTTGGGACCCTGTACCTGCATGTGAGACCCAGAATAAGCTCCTGACTCTTGGCTTCCGGTCAGGTCAGGTCAGCTAGCTCCAGCCATTGCAATCACTTGGGGAGTGAACCAGCAGATGGAAGATCTTTATATATCTCCTTCTCTCTGTGTATTTGCCTTTCCAATAAAAATAAATCTTAAGGAAAAAAAGGGGGGGCCCAGTGGCGTGGCCTAGCAGCTAAGGTCCTCGCCTTAAACGCACCAAGATCCCATATGGGTACTGGTTCTAATCCCGGAAGCTCCACTTCCCATCCAGCTCCCTGCTTGTGGCCTGGAAAGCAGTCAAGGACGGCCCAATGCTTTGGGACCCTGCACCCACGTGGGACACCCGGAACAAGTTCCTGGCTGCTGGCTTTGGATTGGCATAGCACCGGCAGTTGCACTCACTTGGGGATTGACTCATCAGATGGAAGATCTTCCTCTCTATCTCTCCTCCTCTCTGTATATCTGACTTTGCAATAAAAAAAAAAAATCTTTAAAAAGAAAAAAAGAGCAAGACCCCTATGCCAGTCCATTAATTCTCTGAATGAGTGATTTTTTTTAATGCTTACTGGGCATAACAGCAATAGGGTGGCTTTAAGGAGACTGCTGACCTATCACTAGGGGGTGAGGGGTGAAACTTGGCTGACCACCTTCTGGATGGGAAGAGGACAGGGCATCCTGGGCCTGAGATGTCACATCAGGTCTGACCGCAATCCCATGAGCTGCTGCATGGCTCCATTCGGTTCACACAGCCCCTTACCCTGCCAGGCCCTGGCAGCAGTGAGCCAAGTTGACACAAGTGCTATGACGACAGCATAACACAGTGGCATGGGAGCCCCAGGAGAGAACTTTCCCCAAGGAAATGAAATGCGAGCTGGGTAGGCACAGAGCCCAGAATCACTGCCCCGAGAGAAAAACGGAGGAGGGCAGATTCAAGGGCACAGGACAGGCTCTAGCCAAGGTCCAGGTGTGCTGCCCTGCGCCAGGCAGCCACAGACACTGGCTAATGGATTCTCAGCAGGGGGACCCTACAGTGCCCCGCCTGGCCCACAAAGCCCAGGGCCCTCTAGGACCCTAGGGCCATAAGCCTCAGCCACCTGATGCTGTCAGCACCAGCGGCTGTTCCTCTGCCACTGCACAGCTGTGCCTGCCTCTGGATTTTCCAAAACAGAGGGAAAGTGATTCCAGAAACCCTACACACTCCCTTGCCATTGAACAGTAAATGCCAATGAGAACTCTGGGGCCCACCAAGACTGTTCCCCTCCATAGAGCCATGTCTGCCTGGAAGGAGCTCTCTGCAGATGGGAAGCCAGTAGGTTTGGGGGGTTCCCAGTGTCCCAGTCCCCTTCAGAGGAGTTCTAGGACCACCATCCTAGCTCTGAGCCATGCACAGCTAAAGCAGGCCAGGTAGACAGCCAGGAGGAGGAGGAGAGACAACCGAAGATTCTGGAGGGATCACCTTTGGAGGAAGCACAGAGCTGCCCCCACTCTGGGTTGTGCCCCACCCAGCTCAGCCACCATGCCTTTCCGAGCTCTCCGTGGTCAGCCCCTTCCATCTGGCCCACCACACTCCAGCCGACAGGGCAGGAGCTTGAGCGCCAGCATCTTCCAAGGCGCCACAAACTACCCCAAGGGCCCAGATGCAGCAAAGCCGAACTGAGAGTGGGAATAGCGGGCAGGCCTACGGTGGCTCGAGAAAGGGAACTGCTTTCTAACGATGCCAGCTGCCTCCAGTGGGTAGGGGAAGGTGGTGCAAAGAGAGGGCCTGCAAGCCAGAAAAAAGTCCTCCCACAATAAGCAAGGGAACAGGGCAGTGGGCCTCCTGGGGCTGCTTCCAAACCCGAGTGATGAGGAGAGCCCCAGCAGAGAAGAAAGTTGGGCAGGAGCACCAGCTCTGTGCCAGTCGCTGCCTTGCAGATGCTCACCAGCCCACAAGGTAGGCACCTTTATGCACCCTTTCAGTGGTGGAAGCTGAGACTTGGGGAGGCACGATGACAAAGCTGGAGCTAGCCATGCAAATCAAGGCCCCAGGCTGCCAGCTGGGCCGGCCAGGGAGCGCTCTGGCCTCCTGGCCACGCAGAGGGCAGCCTCAGCACTTTGCAGCCACAGCTCTCCAAGGGCCTTCTTCACTGACTTCATCCCCCAAAAGATGCTTACTTCTAGAAGCCCAAGAGCCCTATGTCAAGAAGCCCAGCACCAGGGAAGAAGCAACAATCTGCAGCCATCTGTTCCTTGGGAGCCCAGGGGCTGCATCACTCCACATTGACTCCAGCCAAGAACACGAGGTGCAGAGAGAGGGCGAAGCAGGAGATAATGGGGCCGTGCCTTGAATAAAACGGGCTGGACACGCAACGAGGCGCAGGGCAGGGCAGTGGAGGGGAAAGGGCATTCCAGAGATCAGTGGAAGCAAAGGTCTCGCTGCAAGGTAGAGAGAATCCCATGCCAAGCAGGAGGCAGCCAGAAGAAAACTCTCAAGGCACCACACTGAGAGAGGCGGGAGCTGGCATACTGTGAGGACTTCCACTCTCTGGGCCCCCAAACTTTATTCCTGCTCCCCTTTATAAAGGCCTGCTCTAAAGTCTTTCATTTTGTGGAGCCTCCCACACATCTTTCTTTGATGATACGACAGAAGGTGGAAAACAGTGCTGATCCGAAAGCCAATGACAAGTGTCCTCCATGCCAGGCCCTATCCTGGTGGGTTCCTCACCCAGCCCGGGAAGGGCTCTCTCCTCAACCCCCTTGACGCAGAGGAGGAAGGCCAAGTTCAATGCTCAGCAGCCTACCAAAGGTCTTACTATAGCGAGGCACCAAAAACAGACATTAGGAAGGACCCTGCCCTCAGCAGCCCTCAGCAACGAGTAGAGCAACCAGGACAAGCAGCCGAGCACCCCCCTCCCCCTCCCCCGCCCCACACTGGACACCCAGAAGAAAGTTCCCGCCTCCCCCGCGGGCCCACCGAGCCGTGACGCAGAGAAGGGTGGGGCCGCAGCAAGGGCATTCTGGGGCGGGGTTTCCAGGGGGCGGGGCTCCCGGGGCCGGGGCCTGGTCGACCCTATGAGCGAGGGGGCCGCCCGCGATGGGCGGGGCGAGAAGGGGCGGGGCCGAGGGCGCGGCCGCAAGGGGCGGGGCCGGGGATGGGTCGTGAGGGGCGGGCCTCGGGGGCTGGGCGATGGGCGGGGCCGAGGGTGGGGCTACGGCTGCGCTCCCGCCCCAAAGCCTCGGGAGGTCCCCGCCCCACGGCTGGACCCCAGCCCTCGTTCCATACTCTGACTCCAGAAGGGCTGATCCGGGATCTCGATGGTGTAGTCCAGCTCAGCCATGGTGACGGTGCTGCAGCACGGGCCTCCCGCCGGAACTCCTGCTCGCGCACCGGCGCCTCACCCGGGCGGCTCGCGGGCGCCGCCCAGTCACCGCCCACCTCCCCCGCGACATTACCCAATCCCGGAGCCGAGCTCTGTGACCTCCCGCCCTAGCAACCACCGAGCCTCTCGTCCTACCCGACAGCTGTGCCCTAGCAACCAGGCCCCGCCCCTCCCTTGCTCTGGCCCGCAGCCATTGGCTGACGCGTTCTGTCTGGATTCGGGATTGGTCAGCGGGGACGCCGGTTGGGAAGAGTCCCACCCAGCTGTGGAGGTAAGAGTCGGCGGGAGAGTTGCGGTGGCAGCCCAGGACTGGGGAGGGTCGGCCGTCTGAACCGGCGTTTTGTTCAGGGAGCCACTTACTCGCGCTGTTTAGCTACAGCTAACGTTTACCAGCCGCAGCTCCAAAGGTTGGAGTCAGAAAACCGTATGCAACGGCCTAGGGGGCACGTGCCCACCCATCATCAAGCCAGTGAGGTCTAGGTTTGGCTGGGATGCCGCCTACAGTTGATAACTTTAGAGAACGCCCTGTTGGTGGCTAGGGGTATCACCCACTCATTCAACAAGTGTTTGCAGGGTGCCTGTCATGAGCTAGAGTCAGGCTACGGTGAACATCAGGTTTTTGACCCTGACTTGCACAAATCTCAGTTGGAGAGAAAGAGGCACCACGAGTGGCCAACTCTGATGGTGTGCCAAAGAACACCTCTTAAGGGGCAGCCAAGAAAAGAGCGCCAGAGATGATATGGCGTCTTCTTGCTGGAGGAAAGACTGGTGGGAGCGAACCCTTGCTGTCAAGCTCAGCTTTGCACTTTTCAGGTATTCTCGCTAACGGGAGACGTTTTTCCACACCTGTTACCTGCGAGGGTAAAGGCCTTAGCTTTCTCCTGAGAACCAAGTGTAGAGGTTAAGGCTCTGAGCAGGTGATACCAGATTTGAGGCTTAGAAACATAAGTGCGGTGAACGGATTGGGCTTGCAGAGGATTTGGGGGAAGGATTTGGGGGACGTTAATTATACCGTGGCCACTGAAATAGAGGGGAAGGAGACACTTAGAGCTACAAAGAGCTGGGCTCTGTGACTGGTGGAGTGTGGGAGAGAAGTCAGAAAAATGAAGATCTTTGGTTTGGGCAAACAGGAAGGAGAGAGGACTCAGGGTTTTTACGAGAGAGTTAGTTCCAGAATTGGTGAATTTGATGCCCAGCTGGAATCCACCAGCGAAGTCTAGGTTGGAAGTAGTGGGGTCCTACACAGGTAAATTCGTTGAATTTAACTAACACAGGGAGTGTTTGTGTAGAAAAGGGAGAGGCGAAAAGGGTCTACGAGAGAGCCCCAAGAGGCAACCAAGTTGGAAGGTTTGGCCGTGGAGGAGGAGGAGGGACCTGCTGAGATGATGATAAGGAAATGACCAAAATGCTAAGATCATCAGAGTCGGAATGTTTCGGAAGCCAAGGAGAGAAAGTGTTGAAACCTGATGACTAATCAAGTAAAATAAGACCTGAAAGACTCCACCGGATTTAGAAACAAGGAAGTTGTTGGTGACCACAAGTGCACTTTCAGTAAAGTGATGGGACGCAGGGTCAAGTGTCAGTGGCTTGGGTAGTGAATGGGGAGAGGGGGAAGTGAAAATTGTAAATACTTTGGAGAAGCTTGGTCTTTTAGGGGAAGAAATTAAGAAAAGAATCACTGGAAGGAGATGTGTGTCGGAGAAATGCTGTTTCCAACAAACAGGAAAAACATACGATTGTAGGTGAATGGAGATCACTAAGAGCAGTGTCCCCGCGAAAGGCATGAGACAGAAGACCCTGAGCTTTGGTGGAGAGAGACCCGCTTAGGAGGGGGGAGGAGGCACTGGACACCGCTGTGGGGTGCCTACGTCCCATATGGGTAGAGTCCCCAGTTACAGTCCTGGCTCTGGTTCTGATAAAGCTTCCTTCTGAAATACATCTTCAGGAGGTACCAGGTGATGGTTTAAGAACTTAGGTCCCCACCACCCATATAAAAAAACCCAGATGGAATTCTTGGCTCCTGGTTTTCACCTTATCCAGCACGGTTGCTGCAGACATTTGGAAAGTGAACCAGAGAATGAAAAGCCTCCTTCTCCCTCTCTCTCTCTCTCTCCCCCTCTCCCTCTCTGAAAGACCTTTCTCAGTCTCTCTCTCTCCTTCTCCCTCTCTCTCTCACCCTCCATACCATTCAAAAAAACGAAAACTACAAAGAACAAGTGGGCAGTGTGGCAGAAAGGAATCATGTGTGTTGATATTGGTACATTAGTATTTTTGGTGACAGGAAACCGATGACTTCTGTTTCTGCTCTGATTCTGTTTCTCTGCGAACAAGGGTGTGGTTTCAGCCAGTGAGGCTGTGATTGGCAATGATGTGCCCATTGGAAAGAGCAGAGGCTGAAACGGCAGTGGTGAGAATGGGCAGGTGCTGACAGTTGTGATGGTCCCATTGAAGCTGGTGGCCATGAATCCATAGCATCAGCCACCCAGTGGTGGGGACAGAGGTTTGTCGAATTGATCCAGGTTTGACTTTTACCAGGTGAAGGCAGTGGAAGGACAAAAAGAAGCCATGGATATTAGCTAAAGAGTGGTTGAAAAGATGGGCTTTGGAACCTGGCCTGAATAAAAGGGGGAAAGAAGCATTATGGACTGAATGTCCCAATGAGGTCAGCACCCATCTTGGAAAAATGTTGAATGCAAGAGTTTTGGTCAGGGCTCAGAGCCAGAGGTAGCCAGCTAGACCCGGCTCTGAGCTCCCAGGCAGCAGGGCTCGGGCTGGGTGGCTCATGGGTTTCACTCAGCACCTTCGGTGCCCAGACCACCCAGTGGTGAGATCTTGAGGGAAATGCATGGACCTTTACGTCCAGACCAACACAGCAGCCTGGAGGGATAGCCAACTGAGGTGGTTGGTAATGATTAGCACTGAAGACTACTCACTGGGGCACACTAAAACTAGGGCTAGGGCCTACCTGGCAGGGCATTAAATCGCAGTACTCACCAACAAGAGTCAAAACATGATGGAAGATGTTAGGCTGGGCCATAGCACTAACCAGCACACAAGAGAACTAGTTCTGGAGGCGGACTCTGTGGGGGAAGTGTGGGCCACCTCTTTGGTCTGCAATTTCAACTGGTTTGCTTGGAGCTGGGCACAGTGACAGGCTGAAATCTAGGCATCACCATGGAACCACAAGCACTCATGGGTACTAGAATTGGGTATAGGCTAGGTTGGTCCAGGCTGCAGCACCCGCAGACACACCCAAGAAAATGGTGTGGGGTGGGCCACCACTCATACATGTGCAGCATAGAAGGGGTAGCCTATGATTGGTAAGGGCCTAGCACCCACAGCCATGGGTGAGCTTTGGGTCTGGGAGTGGGTCTGGTAGGGGAACTAGAGCAACTCCCCTGGGTTGATCCTCACTGTGAGCATGAATCTTGGTCAGGCCAGACACAGTAGCTCCAACTGTCCACACATGTGTGAGGTAATTTTGGAAGGTGGTGGACTGGGCAGGGCTAGGCCAACCTTAGTTCACTGGTGAGTGCAGAAGCCAGACTGGAAAGTGGGAGTATCTAGCTAGGCAATCACACCTACTAGTTTGCCTGAGTCAGGGACTGAAGTAGGCTGAGCATGGCCAGATTCTAGTACTCACCAGCGAGAGTTAGGACTGAGGGCGGGCCAGGCCGGGCCAGGCCAGGCCAGGCTGTAGGTTCTGAAGGCAAAGGTCAGGACAGGGGATAGGCTATGCAGAGCTGGGTCAGAGCAACCACTGGCATGCGCAAGATCTGGTGCAGGAAACAGACATGGTTAGGGAGCTTAGGGGACACCCAGCTGGGTTGTGGCTTCCACTGGTGAACATGAGAGCCATGATGGGGGTGGTCTGAGCTGGACATGGCTGCTGTGTCTCTTTGCATGGGGTGTGGACAGGCTCTGAGGCATACCAGACTGGGCTATACTCCAGCATCCACTGGTCCTTGTGAGAACCAGAGAGGTTGTAGGACAGGTTGAGCTAGGTTTCTGTTCTCCCTGGGCCACATGAGAGCTGCATCAGGGTATGGACTAGATGTGGCTGGGCTGTAACACCCAACAGTAAGAACCAGATTGGGTATGGGGCAGTTGGGCATGGCTATTGTTCCTGCCACGACAGGAGATAGATTAACCCAGTCTGGACCAGGGACCTACCAGTGTGTGTGAGATCTGCCACTGAGAGGAGACCCTGTAGAGGAGCTTGGGGAACTCCTTTATCCGAGTGCAGTCCCTGCAGATGAGCGTAAGAACCAACGCAAGGAGCAGCTCAGACCAGACCAGGTTATAATACCTGCTGACATACATACATGCGACTCAGGTATGGGGGTGGGCCAGGCTGGGCCAGTTCATAACACCCACTGGCATATCTGAGAATCAGGAGAAACAGGATGGGTCTGGCCACATTTCCAGCCAGTTCATATTAGGATCGGGACTAGGGGCTGACTGCATCATGTTGAGCAGCAGCTCCAACCAGTGTGAGCTAGAATGGGAGAAGACCGGGCCGGGCCAGGTTATAGCACCTACCAGCAAATGCTGAGGTGACATGGACTACACAAGACTGTGCTGCAGCACCCACCAGCACACACACGACCAGGATAGGGAGTTTAGTCTATGGTAGGGGAGTATTGGGCACTCCAATGCTAGGCCACCACTCATGCTGGTGTGAGAGCTGGAATTGGGGACAGATCAGGCTGGGCAGGGCTATAACACCTATTGACCTACACGTGAACCAGGTTAGGGGGAGTGCCAGGTTGGGATAGCTGATTCTATCCACTGATACCGGCATGAGCCATAATAAGGGTAGGTGGGTTGGACTTTGCCGCAATATCAGCTGACTAGTGCTGGGACTAGGGGCAAGTCCTATCAAGTTAGACTGCAAAACCAACTAACAGTGCAAGATCCAGGGCAGGGAGTGGGTCCAGAGGAGAGGTTTTGGGCTCCTCTCTGATGGGCTACAACAGGAACCAGAGCTGGGGGACCAGGCCAGTG